CAGGGGTCCGAGAAGAAGGCCCAGATGGATCCTGGGTCATGGTTCGGAAAGAAGAGGGGAGCTCCGAGGAAGGAGGTACGATGCGCAGTGTTTGGGGCCAGGCTGCTCTTTGGTTGTGTGAAGGCGACGGGCGGGCAGACCCCCCTCCAGCTTCCCTCACCAGAAGGCGTCGGAGGGGCTTCCCTGTCGGCAGCGGGGTCTTCCCTGTCGCCAGACGGTCTCCAAGATTGCTGGCACGGGGGGAGTGGGCGCTGTGCCCAGCCCTGGCATGCCAGGAGTGCCAATGGTCCATGGGAGGGGCGTCGGGACGAGCACGGTGCCCGCTGGGGGCTCGGCCGGCCTTCAGAAGCGCCTCCTCGCAGCTCTGCCCGCCCTGCCCGCCTGCGCGGCAATTCCCTGCGAGGCTGGCCCGGCGCTTGCGCCTCTGTGCGGACATGGCCAGCCACGGACGCGAAGGCGCAGGGCTGCTCCGGATGCATCGGGGGGCGGAGGCGGGGGGCGGGAGGCGGGCTGCGGGGGGCACTTTGTCCCTGGGGGGGCGCCCTGTCTGCTGTGCTGCTCAGGGCCTCCCCAATTCCCGTTTCAGGCACTGGATGGCAGCGCCTGGAGAGGGAGCTGAGAAAGCACGTTGAAGACACACTGGCTGCTCTCCAGGGCAGGATAACGGCCGCTCTGACGGTGCTGCAGGACAGCAATTCTGCTCCGCGATCTCACGAGGCCGAGGGGCCGCCCACCGGGGCTCATGCCAGGAACACCACCGCACAGAGTGCGCGAGGAGGGTGGAAGTTCTGGCAAAGGCCCGCAACACCACCATGAGATCTTGTATAATAGGACGGCATACAAAAGCCTTTAATAAAACCATAATAAGTAATAGCCATCCTTTCCCTCTTGCCTTGCCCCCTCTCTCGGGCAGCCCCTGCTTCTGCGTGTTCGCCCAGCCCCCTCCCCCCAGATCCCTTGCTCACGGCCCTTCCGCCCCCTCACCTCTCTGCATTTCCCCTGTGAGAACTGCCCTGTGTGACTGCACCTGTGCCAGCAGATTCTCTCGCTCTCCCGTCCTCATTCCCAGTCACTTAGCCTTACTGTGTCATCGTTATTAAAGTGCTGCCTCTTCCTGAGGATGCCGGACTGTCTGGGGAAGTTTCCTCGAGCATTTTATGCGCTTTTTGTACCTGCGCTCCCACCTGCTTACAAACTGGACCTGGAAAGGAGCTCAGGAATGGAAGTCATGCTCAGCCTGGGCCCCGTTGCGCAGGAGATGGGCACCGACACCGGCCTGGCGGGACGCTAGATCTGCCGCTGCTGGAGCAACGCCCCTCGCCCCCCCTCCCCTCCCCTCAGCCCCCCTCCCCTCGCCTCCCCTCCCCTTGCCCCCCTCCCCTCGCCTCTTGCTCACCGCTTGGTGCTGGGAGGCCAGCAGGGCTCCCCCTGGCCTGGCCCCCACTCTGGCCTTCCTGGCAGGGAGCCCGTTTCAGAGGGGACGGTGCTCCGACCAAAGGGGGGGGCCATGGCCGGGGGCCGCCAAGGAGGGCCTGGGGGCTGCACGCTGTCCGGAGGAGACGTGGAGCCGGGACCCGGGAGGGGCACATGGGCGGCGGGCAAAGGCCCGTGCAGGACCCGGCCGGAGAGGGTGGGGGCCGCTGCGGCCCCTGAGCCAGCTCAGCGGCCTCGGAGGAAGCCCCCTGCAGCCCGGCCATGCTGCCCCCTGCGGGAAGGGCCAGGCAACCGGGGGGGGCACGGAGGGGGGGGCAGGGCAGAGCCAGCCCAGATGCCCAGGCAAAGGTGCAGGAGGGCCCCCAAAGGAAAGTCAGCGCCCCAAAGAGGCTGCCACCGGGAGCGCCTGGGATCCTCCTTCCCATCTGCCTGAGCGGAGCACCAGGCACCATGGCCCCTGCGAGCACGGCGCCCCTTCCGGGCCCCCTGCGGAGGAAGGCGGGGCTGCTCGAGCATGCGCAGAGCCCCTCTCAGGGATGGATTCCTCCGGGCTCCGCAGGGGTGCTTTCCCTGGCCCTCCGCAGCCTCCGGGGCGCACTGCGCATGCTGGCCCAGCACTCATGCAAGCGCAGGGGGCACACGGGGCGCCCCTGGGAGCAACTGCCTTTGCGGAGGGTCAAAGTACCCCGACGCGCTGTTCTGGGACTCCGGGGGATGGCGGAGGGAGGAGTGCCCGGAGGACTGCTGTCCATGGGGTCGCCGGGGGTCGGCACGACCTCGCAACTAGCAACAACAACCGGGACGCGGTTCTTGCGAACATGCAGGCGCCTTGGCTCTGGTTGTAGGAAGGCGTGTTCTGGTTCCGCGAAAGGAAACTGCCAACGGGGGGAAGGGAGGGTTGGGCCGGGCCAGGGCCCTCTTCCTTTCGCTGGTTTTGGCACGTCCTGGGAGGGCCGGGCCGTGGGCCTCCTTCCGAGCAAACTGCGCGACTGAAGGGGGCTGGGGTGCTGCAGAGCCTCGCTGCGCCGGAAGAGCTAAGCTCACCAGCCACGCTGCGCCCTTCACTCGCTTCCAGCCGGGCAGGCAAGCAGAGGAAACGCGCTCTGGCTGGTGCTCGTGGCTTGCCGCGTGCCCAGGGCAGGGCGGGAGGCAGCCCGGACCACCCCCCCCGTCCCCTCAGTCGAGGCGAAGCACAAGCGGCACCAGCACCACGATCCCGGTGAAGACGATACCGAGGAGAATCCCCGCGAAGCGCCGCTTGCTGCGCCACAGCTCCGCAAGCTCGGCCTTCCTCCGGGCCTTCCGGTTCTCCCTCACAAGAGACCGGATTGCTTCATCCCTCGGGTTGCTTGCAGAGTAGAGCGGGTTGACGCAATGGCTCCCGCCGTTCTCCTGGACGATTCCCAGGACCGCTTGCACCAGCTCCGAGACATGCTCCTCGCACTCTGCTCCCACGGCCCCGTTGTTGAACGCGCAGACGCGATCCCCGCACCTCTGGGCCAGCTTCTGGAGGGCCTGGTTGCCCGACCGCCTCACATAGTCCTGCAAGGAGCTCCCGCCCAGATATTCCTTGCGGGTGAACAAGACCATCATGCGCCGGGCGGCCTCCACCCCAAACAGGTCGAGGACGCGGTTCGCAGCCGCCTCGTCTTCGGCAGTGAAGCGGCCCACCTGGGTCACGAACACGAGCGCGTGGGGGCCAGGCCGGGAGAGCTCCACGCAGCGCCAGATCTCGGAGTACACGATCCCCCGGAAGGCTCCCAAGGGAAAGAAGTCTGGCGTGTCGACCACCGAGACCCGCCGGCCACTCCAGCTTCCCTGCGCCTTCTGGCACTGCAGGGTGGTGGCGTTTGCTGCCAGGACGGACTCGAACTCCTCCCGGCCCAGGAGGGTGTTGCCCATGGCGCTCTTCCCGCCGCCGCTCTTCCCGACCAGGATGAGCCGGAGCTCCCCGTCTCCCTCATGCCAAGAGACCGAGGGGGGCGCCAAGCCCCACCTGGACGGTGACATTTCGGCGCCGGGGGGGAGAAATCCAAACGGTGCCCCCACGGGAGAAGACCAGTCCCAGCCGGCCGCCTGCTCTGCTGTTCGCCCCCAGATCCCCCGCTCCCCAAGCTCTGGCCTCCCGCTGCTCCGAGTGGCCCTCGCTCCACGCCAGAAAAGATATTCCGGGCACGGAAAGGCGGGATCCCCCTCCCCCTTGCCGCGGGCTGCTGGCCACCATGAGCGCCCAGACGGACTGGGGCCGAGCCAACTAACTGGCTGGGGGCTGTGTGCGTGTGTGTGTGGGGGGGGTTCCTTCAATCTCCCCCCCTCCCCCCCAGACCAGGCGCAGAAGCAGGGCCGGGGTGCCGAAGAGCTGGGGAGCAGGGAGAGCCCGAAGGGGCCCCCCAGCCTGCCCCCTCCAGCCGGCTCCGCTCAGGGCACGCCTGCCTGCTTCCGCCGAGGTCTCCCGGCCGGCCTGGGACGCCGCTCCCCGCTGCCCGGCCGAGCGGCACCCTCCGCGCCGAGGACGGGCGCGCTCTCCGGCTCCGATCGCCGCCGAGGCGGGCCCTGCGGGGACAGGCGCGTCGAGAAGGGCCCGCTCCGCGGACGCAGCCGGGCCTCCCGCGCGCAGAGCCGACCCCTCGCAGGACCCCTCGCAGGCGGGGCCGGCGCACACTCGGCCGAGCGCAGCTCATGGGCCGGCCTGCGCCCGGGGCCAGGTGGGGGCGGCTGGGCACGGCCCCCTCCCCCCGCCACCCCCCAAGCCCCCTGCTGCGACCGCAGAGAGAACCTGAGCCTGCCGGCGTGCTCGCCCTGCGGTCGGGAGCCTCTGGCGGCTTGGGGGTCCCAGTCCCGGGAGCGCTCCGCGGAGAGGCTGCTGCTCAGATCCGGGACGACTGGAGGGGCTGGAGGTGCCCACCCCCTTCCTGGGATATTTATGGCCGGGGTGGTTTCGGTTCCTGGCGGGGAGGCTCGCCCCACGCGTCGCCCCCTGGATGGGCGAGACCTGCGCCTGACACGCTGCGTGAGCTGCAGGACGGGCAGCGTGCATGTCGGAACGCGGGCAAGCCGCCGCCTGCTGAAAAGCGCGCGGCGCTCCACGTTAACCGAGACGCGCCGTTTCGACGCTGCGCGGAGCTGCCGCGCTCACTCGGAAACACGCGTGCATGGAAGCTCAGGGCGAATGCGGAGGGCTTCGCTCAGCCGGCGCGGCGCGGATTCCTGCCTCCCTGGAGCAGCTGGTCGGGGGCCACCCGGACGTGGCGGAGCCCCTTCCGTGGAGCCGCGCTGCCTGTGCACCGCTAGCGAATGTATGGACCTGCAGCTCCCCCCCCCCCCCCCCCCCC